GGAGAAGAAGGGGGGAGGCAGGAGGAGGCGGAGAAAGCAGGGGGAGGCGGAGAAGGCGGAGAAGGCAGGGGGAGTCTAGGGGAGGCTGAGGAGGCGGACAAGGCGGAGAAGGCAGAGAGAGATGGCGGGAGGATGCAGGAGGAGGAGATGACGGAAGAGGGCGGAGAGGCGGAGAGGGTACAGGGCTAGAAGAAGAAGAAGAAGAAGAAGAAGAAGAAGAAGAAGAAGAAGAAGAAGAAGAAGAAGAAGAAGAGGAAGAAAATAAGAAGAAGAAGAAGAAGAGGAAGAAGAAGAAGAGGATGAAGAAGAAGAAGAAGAAGAGGAAGAAGAAGAAGAAGAAGAACAAGAACAAGAACAAGAACAAGAAGAAGAAGGTGGCGTAGGGCGGAGGGTGGCGGTGAGGCGGGGGGAGGCGGAGAAGGCGGGGGAAGGCGGAAGGGCGGGAGAGGCAGGTGGAGGCGGAGAAGGCGCCTATCCCCCGCCCTTCCGCGCCCATCCCCCTGTCCCTCCGCGCCCATCCCACCGGCCTTCCGCGTCCATCCCCCCGCCCTTCCGCGCCCATCCCATCACCCCACCCTTCCGTGCCCATCCCCCCGATGGCGGGAGGATGCAGGAGGAGGAGATGGCGGAAGAGGGTGGAGAGGCGGGGAGGGTCTAGGGCTAGAAGAAGAAGAAGAAGAAGAAGAAGAAGAAGAAGAAGAAGAAGAAGAAGAAGAAGAAGAAGAAGAAGAAGAAGAAGAAGAAGAAGAAGAAGAAAAAGAAAAAGAAAAGGAAGAAGAAGGCGGGGGGAGGCGGAGAAGGCAGAGAAGGCGGAGAAGGCGGAGGGAGATGGTGGGAGGATGCGGGAGGAGGAGTTGGCGGAAGAGGGCGGGGAGGCGGAGAGGGTATAGGGCTATAAGAAGAAGAAGAAGAAGAAGAAGAAGAAGAAGAAGAAGAAGAAGAAGAAGAAGAAGAAGAAGAAGAAGAAGAAGAAGAAGAAGATGAAGAAGAAGATGAAGAAGATGAAGAAGAAGAAGAAGAAGAAGAAGAAGAAGAAGAAGAAGAAGAAGAAGAAGAAGAAGAAGAAGAAGAAGGTGGCGGGATGGGCGCGGAAGGGCGCGGGGACCAAAATTGTTGCATACTCGTAAATACTTCAACAAGTATGGGCAGAACCAAGAGATCAACCAATGTAGGATGAGCATGTATGCAGCAGAAGTCTGACAAATGGACTGACTCACATAGACTGACTCACACAGATATCACTCAACACACAAACAATCGTGAGATGGTGGGGTCTGAGCCAATCATAGAAGATGCTCAGGCCCCGTACAATCATACACAGATGAAAGGTGGGAGGAGAGACGAAGGAGGTGGGAGATGTAGGCAGCACCAGACGTCACCAAGATAGAATCCAGTAGGTCACCGATAGGGTAGTCCAAAATGTCATCGAACAAGATCAAAATGTCGTGGACAATAAGTCTCCAATGTCGGAGGTACATAGTCCTAATATAATCGGTGTCCAATCTGTGATGCCACCGAGTATCAACCCCAACAATCTCCAAGTCTCGAATCCGGTGAGTATCACAGCCTCTTACCGCTGAAGTCCAACACTGATCTCTGTCCAACTAGTATCAAGTCTCCAATCTTGAAGAAGAAGAAGAAGTTTGAAGAAGAAGAAGAAGAAGTCTGAAGAAGAAGAAGAAGAGGTCTGAAGAAGAAGAAGAAGAAAAAGAAGTAGAGAACAAAGGAGGAACTTCCGCGCCCATTCCCCCGCCCTTCCGCCGAACATGCCCCTGCCCTTCCACGCCCATCCCCCCGCCCTTCC